CCCCAAAACCCCAAAACCCCAAAACCCCATTAGTAAAAAACTGCAAAATATTAAAAATAAGGAAATAATTAATTCATTCATAATTTTATTTTCTGGGTTTTATTCATGATTTCATTCAATTTTAACTTTAAGTTCTTTACTTTATTTTCTCTCCACTTATAATCACCTCTATAGACTGACTTAGTAATATCTATATGTGTTTCATTTTAATACCTAGTTTTATCCTTATCATTTAGATCAAAAGCTAAATCTTCATTTATCAATTTTTATTTACTGCTATTGTTTGTTCCATTCGCTACAATATCATAATTTCTACCCTTTCTAAATAGTCCTGTTTCAGATTTATTTCTGTTTAATTTACTTATTTTAAATTTCTAATATTCTTCTTGAATCACATTTATTGCACTTAATTAAAATTTGTCTTTACTTTTATTTAGTGACTTTGCGTTTGTATTTGATTCTGCGTGATTATTTGTATATTTTTATGGAGTAGAATTTTTAGTAAGGACTGGTAGTCCATCCTAGATCTAATAAAGGCGGCTTTCATTTATTTTCATGTAATGAGGTTCGATCTTAGATCTTTCTGTCTTTAGAATTTAACCAAGATCATTGACTTTCAGATTCTCATTTTAGTTCTTTGCATATTAGTTTAGCCTTATATCTGATACTGATTTTGAGTTTACGTTATCTCATCTAAGAGTGTGACTGAACAGAGCTTCCTTAAATCTCATATAAGAACTCTAGTTATTATTATTTCCAATGATTTTGTAATGTTTCATTATGAACTCATAGTCAGACTATTTCCAATATTAAACCTAAGTATGCATTAGATATTCTAGTTACTCGTGAACTAATTCACTTAGAAATATTTGCTGATTCTACCTCTAGCGAAATGCTTCATAGTAGGCCCTGCAAAATCTGCAAATGTAGAGTATCTCCCCTGACTTGTCTTCTTTCTTAAAGTATTACTCATTGATTTGTTTTCTTAATCCAAGCATCTATATAAGGTCCATAGTCTAGACTTGATATTAAGAGATAAAAGCATCCTGTTTATATTTGGAGTAAGGAAGAATTTCGATTTGACCTTCAATCTCCTTCTTTTGACTAATCTTATAAACATCCTTAAGCTTTTGGGCTACTTAATCATCTTTTAGATAATTGCAAATAAAACTTTGACACTCATTTGCTGAGATTTTCTTTTTTGATGGAGAATCTGGTCTGTAGAATTAAGATAACTCATTTTTGTTCATACCAGATGAAAATTTCTAAATCTCGCTATAGGTGAGATACTTTACCTGCAAAAACACACTATTAATAATAAAGGATTAAAGTATATTTTACACATTTGACTATGCATCCTCCATAAAATCGACTATCATATAATCGCAGTTAAAACTGTTAACTCTAAACTATGTTGAATTGATGAATGAATAAAGTTTCTTAGCATCATTTTAAGCTTCAAAGTAAGCATTTGTGGTACAATTTGATTGCTTTAAATATTTGATTTACTCTGAAGATACATGAAATAGTCTTTGAACACGATCTATTTTAATGATTAAAGCATGAATAAATAAACAGATGATTGCACAATACCTTGCATTTTAAGAATTTGCTCTTATTACTTGACTTTTTCTTCAAATCCTATCGATTGCTTATGAGAATCTAACTTTAAACTAAAAGCTGTTGTCTAAAATGAATTCTTTAAGTTTATTGAATTACTTATATTCGCATACTAAATCTTTTGGCTAAATTTTTCTAAATACTTAGTGAAATCTTAGATTTAGCAGGAAAATCTTAGTCCTTCATTTCCCTTAAAAACATAGATTTAATTTTGGTGATATGATTATGCTCAACTGTTAATCTTATTATACTTGGTTTTTTAGATCTACTTACAACACATTCTTAAATCATACACTCTAAAATGCATTAAATTCTTATAATGACTTACCATACATCCCCTTATACATATTTATTTCATTAAAGAGAGAATCAATATCAACAAAGAACTTAGTCTAGTTAGATATGGAACTAACAGCTATCTTAAGAACGAAATAAGGTCTCTTATCTTGCAACATCTTTTCATAAGGCTAGAACTAGAAATTATTCTCGAGAATCTTTCTCAAATCACCTATACTGTTGATTGGCATAGTTTTTATGATAGTGTTTTTTAAATCTGAAGAGGAAGGATCAGGAATATTTTTTGCGAAAATATACTTTGTACCCCCAGCAAAAATAAATACAGTCTTAGGTATCTTTATGTTTAACTATAAATTTAAGAATGGTTTAATTATTGCTAACTTTAGCTTAATGAAATGAAGGTTCAAGCACAAGCTATCTTAAGCTAGAAAGACAAACTTTGAAAGGACTGGCATGAATTAGATCCTCATTAAAGTTATAGTCGGTTTAAAGCTTAATCTGTTCTCTTTCAAAAGTTCTCTGATGTAGTTTTCTATCAGCAGTTTTCTAATCTATTAATCCTCTTTTAGCTCTCTTTAAACTGTTAAAATACACATTAATGCAGAAAGTAAATCATACTAAGTTATAAATTTAGAAGCAAGATCAGTTTTTAAAACCTTCGCATCTTAGTCGTAATCCTGTTCAATCTATTCCAAAATGATTAATATTTTGCAGAACACATTTGATTTAATTTTGGATGCATTTTTTGAAACTTACATAATCAAACAGCAAATCAGTTTCCTCTTAGTTCAATCCTAGTTTCCTAAAAGTTATCAAATTTTTATTTAGAAACTCTCTTATTGACTCGTTTTATCCACTTTGTTGAAGATTTTTAATGAGGCCATTGATAATATTTTGAATGACGTAATTTTCTCTGTCAACATTGCCAGATATAACTGAGTTAGACTCAGTTATAAAAGTTATATTATCTGAATTCAGGTTGGTATAGCTTTTAACCTACAGGGAATCTTTCATTAACCTCATTTATTAATATTTCAACAATTAGATTTATTCCTGCTACATCATCATACATCATATTATTATCTTGGGGTTTTGGGGTTTTGGGGTTTTGGGG